TTGAATCCCTTTTAAAAATTCTTTACCATACAACCTAAGGGATCCGAAATCGTTGACTCTGACGCGCCCATACTTATCAATGGAACGTCGTTGACAACGAATACTATGCACGTGTTCTTATTCAACAGTCACACCCGTTTCCTCTGGCAACAGCACCACGTGGTACAGTTACCAAGTGAAACGTACACAATAACACAATAATCACTCAGGGAATCCCCGTACACACACAGCTGTTACACCAGTCGCTAAATAATCAATATTATGCCCTTTGGCGAAACTATACAGTCACCCACGCTATAATTCTCTATATATGAATTACCCGTCTATAACACACCCCAGTAACATCGTTTTTTACTAGTATCGGTTACAGTACGGTTAGCATAGGTCAAAGCACAATTTAAGGTCACAATACAATTATTAGTGGTTACGGTGTTAAACATGCAATAGACGACAATGATTGGTACTTATATACAGTGTCAGTAAATATACAGGGTTATGGTACCGTGCACTATGATACAGCAACACACTATTAACACTCTCGCTAGACGGCTGAGCTCGCGCCATCTAACAAGATATACACTTTACTAACAATCTTTAACACATTTACAATCCCAACTAAACTATTGGCCAGTACCTTGAATGGACTACCTAAAACTATATACACTCGTTTTGGTTAGCCACACTGCCCAAGCACCACATATAGCGAACTAGAGGGCGAAATTTACAAAATTGCCCTTCTAGTCTATTTACTCTATCAAAAGTCTAGTGGGTTCCAAATTTACACGCCTTCCACTTAGCCAAGATAGGTTGAGAGCTAGCGAACCGAATTTACACAGGCGCCGCTTAGTCTCCCGGTCCCTCCGACCTAGCGAACGTAATATACACCCTAGAACGCTAGTCTAGACAAGACACCGGTGTCCCGCTAGGGCTATTTACACAGGACCCCGCCTGACTAACCAGATCAAACGGTCTTACTAAAGAGCGTTCGATCGAGCGGTGCGCCTTCGCTCCTTCCCTCCGACAGAGGGGGCAGATTCCATACACAGATTTAAACTCCTTTTGGGCCTACCGCACAATCGGTATACCCCTAGTGGGTCTGCCGTCTAAAACAGCAGTTGTCTTACCTCCTCGTTCCTGAACCTGAGTTCACACTCATCGACGGGGACACCCCAGCACTTCTTACGTAGAGGCCGATGATCTCCTGGACAACAGACCAGTGGCGCCGAGACGAAGGGAGGTCCACGCAGAAGTTCAGGGGTGCAGCCGTAGAGAACGTGGGCAAAGATAGACTGTCTCACGCCTCTGCCTCTCAGCTACCGTTGAACGATGAGCTTCCCGGCCAATGCACCAAATGATACCGGAGAAACTGACGGAAGCAAAGTACAGAGGGATGGACACAGGTTTCTTCAGGAAGGAAGAGATTCTTTATTGGATCACCGATCGGGACTCAGAGGGACTAATGTCACCAAAAATACAGCAAGTTCTGAGCCCTGAACAATAGTGCAGGCTTCCTATATAGGCACATAACTCCTCCCATATTAAGCTCCACCCGCACATTCTCTTGACCAATCATTACAAATAAGAACTAACTTCCTGCTTGACCACATGGCTTGTCCAGCACAATGGAGGAGGGGAATACTACATCCTGTATTCTTGCACATGCTCCGTACACTACTGATCGTATCTTGCCTCGTGCAACCAACTGATCAATACGTCAGCATATGCACGTACACATGCCATGTGGTAATCTCGGCCTACTAAATTTATTTTTACCGAGATTCCACCACACTATCTATGTGTGCAGCCGCGGGCCCCCCGGCTCCCTGTTACCGCAGAAGGGGGCCCAGGCAGCACACAGCTTCTCCTCCTCTCTTCTCATAACTCTCGCGAGACCCGCTGAGCGTTGCCATGGTAACCGGGTCTCGCGAGAGTTATGAGAAGAGAGGAGGAGAAGCTGTGTGCTGCCTGGGCCCCCTTCTGCGGTAACAGGGAGCCGGGGGGCCCCCCACCGGACCACCAGGGATGGAATCTCCCCCTCCATGGACACAGGTAAGCAGGGAGGGGGGAGAAACATTTAATTAAATTAATAAAAAATTAATGTTAAAATGCCCCTTCCTCCCCCCACCCCAGATCACACACTAACAAAACACACTGCATAAAATAACACACACATACACTGCATACACTAACACACACATACACTGCATACGCATACACTAACACACACACTGCATACACTAACACACACATACACTGCATACACTAACACACACTGCATACACTAACACACACATACACTGCATACACTAACACACACATACACTGCATACACTAACACAACACACACTGCATACACTAACACACACATACACTGCATTCACTAACACAACACACACTGCATACACTAACACACACTGCATACAATAACACAACACACACACTGCATACACTAACACACACACTGCATACAATAACACAACACACACACTGCATACAATAACACAACACACACACTGCATACAATAACACACACATACACTGCATTCACTAACACAACACACACACACTGCATACACTAACACAACACATACACTAACACAACACATACACTAACACAACAGATACACTAACACAACACACACACTGCATACACTAACACACACACTGCATACACTAACACACACACACTGCATACACTAACACAACACACTGCATACACTAACACACACACACACTGCATACACTAACGCAACACACACTGCATCCGCTACACACTAACACACACTCTGCATCCGCTACACTAACACACACTCTGCATCCGCTACACACTAACACACTCTCTGCATTCACTACACTAACACACACTCTGCATCCGCTACATACTAACACACTCTCTGCATTCACAACAAATTTACACACACTATGCATTCACTGCACTAACACACACACTACATTCATTACACTGACGCACTCTGCATTCACTACACACTAACATACACTCTGCATTCATTACACACTAACACACACTCTGCATTCACTAAACTATGCACTCACTCTGGATTCACTATACTGACACACACTCTGCATTCACTACACTAACATACACTCTGCATTAACTGTACACACAGCATCCACTACACAAACATCCTGTATTCACAGTACACACACTACATCCACCACAAATTGAAACACTCTGCATTCACTATTCACAGACACTGCGTCTAATACACACACTACAGACACTGCATCCACTAAACACATTTCATCTAGTACATACAAACACTACATCCACTACACAAACACACTACATCCACTACTCAAAAACACTCTGCGTTCACTATACACACTGCATCTGCTACACAAACACACACTCTGCATTCATTGCACAAACAGTATCTAATACACACAAACACTACATCCATTACACACATTCTAATTCACTTCCACTATACACACACCACATTCAGTCATGCATCATTGTGAGCGGCCTAGGTAGGGCGTGGGCGGGCCCGCGAGGGGGGGTGGGGGGGCCCAGACCTTGTGCTTTGTCATGGGCCCCAAATTTTCTGATGGCGGCCCTGATTGTGTATACTATTTTTGACTGCTAATTAGTCCTGAGTTTTTGTTCTACAAAAGCATTATGGTGGAAGGGTGGAAATTCCCGGCCCAGTTGCTCAGGGTTTTAAGTCCACTATTATTACATCTTTGCGCTATTGAATTTTCTCTACTCTTAACATGAGCTAACATTTATCATTTGTTGAAAAAAATAAATGAAAAATATTCCTTTCCAGTTCTCATGTTTCTCCTTATAGGAACACTTTAGTTTCAGGTTGCTTTAGGATAACATTCCTGTTCCCACACTCTTATTTTAAAAGAGTGTTGATTTCAAGAGGTCACCATTAGAGATGTCGCGAAGATGCCTACTTCCTGGACAGCATCCACGTTGAAGGCAGCTTCAACATGGATGCTGTCCAGGAGGTGGGAGGGTCTGGGAGGGAGAGTCTGCCGGAGATTGGCCGGGATGTGTCAGCTGACCGGAGTTCGCCACGAACTGTTCGCGACATCTCTAGTCACCATATTTATAAAACACCTTTGTTGCATGTTCCAGTTTTAAACCAGACAACCAGGAGCGTTTCCTGTCTCGCATTCCTTGAATTACAGATAGAAACATAGAAACATAGAATGTGACGGCAGATAAGAACCATTCGGCCCATCTAGTCTGCCCAATTTTCTAAATAAATCAAAGTGGAAGTAAGGTAGATTGGACAAGATTGACAAGTTGAACATACTAACACTAAACTCCGTGATCTTGCAAGCACATGCTTAAATATTTGTGCATATCTTCTAAATGCTTGATTTTTCTGTTTAATGGGGTTTTCTTTAAAAGCAAAACATTAAGTCCTTCATTATTATATATGTTACAGTACGAACTGTTCGCCTGAAATCGATCTGTCTATGCTTTAGGAGTCTTTTGAATTAAAATCTATACTAACATTCGCTGATATTAATCTGAACCATCTCATAATTGCTATCTCCAAGGTTTGGATCCTTTGGATATTAAGTGTAAAACTATAACCAATCTGATCAACAATCTATACGACTGACATCAAACCTAATAATGGTTCATTCCATATGAGTTGCACAAATATCAGTATGTTACTTGCAATGTCAGCATTACTTGAACATTAAAATTGCTCCAGGCTTTCAACACGAGTCCTAATTGTGTCTTACTTCATGTTCTGTGAAACATGTTATACCAGTAAAGATCTTATCTAACTTGTTCTGACCCAGAGGAGCATAACCCAAGCTTTCTGTTTGTTATTCTCTGGCCACTGATTTATTAAAGGGATACTTTAGTGCCAGGAATACAAAGCTGTATTCCTGGAACTATAGCGCCCTGTGCCTCCTTACTTGATCCCAGCACTGATATCCGCCTCCTCCAACATCGCTCGAAGAGGTGGACCTAAGGTGAATGCACTGCGAGTGCCACACGCCATTAAGCTCTCCCCATAGGTAACCATTGAATCAATGCTTTCGCAAGGTTGAAATAGATGTTACTGGATGTACTCATGAAGAGTGTGAGGACGTCCAGCGTCAGTTAGCGAACCAAACGTCTGTTAACATTTAAGAAGGACGTTTAGTGACTGGCTGGTCGACAGCCACTAGAGGCTATCTTAGTGATGCAATATAAACATTGCAGTTTCTCTAAAACCGAAATGTTTACACTGCAGCACTAAGGGCAATAGGGATACTGCACCCACACCACTTTCAATGAGCTGAGGTGGCCTCGGTGCCTATAGTGTCCCTTTACTGGTTGCAAG